TCAGGACATGTGGGGGCAGGACGCTGAGGAACTGCTCCAGGACTAGCAGCTCCAGAATCTGCTTCTTGGTATGCAGTGCCGGCCGCAGCCAGTGGTTGCAGAGTTCCCGGAGCCGGCCCAGGGATGCCCGCGGCCCCATATCTTCCTGGTACTGGAAGCATCTGAAGAGCTGGTGAGCCACCTCGGGCCGAGGCCTGGCCTCTGCCAGCCTAGGGTCCTCCTCGAGAGGCGCATCATCCTCCTCCAGCTTCACTTCTCTAACCTGCTCTTGTTCCAGAGCATCTGGGATTGCTTCTGCCAGCATCTTTCACACCTGAAACAGGACTGGCTCTTAAGCCCCTTTCTTCAGCTCCTCCCCCACACACCTGTGGAGCTGAAGACCCTGAGTAAAGATCTGATGCAAGAAAGAGATGCCTGTTTTCCCAGAACTCAGGATATGGAGACAAGGATTCCAGGCCACCCTTACTTGGATAAGAAAGAAAAGGGGGGAGGGCACAGAAACAAGATATACTTCTAACCCCTACCTGAGTTACAGGCGTTAAAAAATAGGAATATGGCCGAGTGGTGGTGGCACACACCTTTAGTCCCAGCACTTGGGAGGCAGAGGCAGGAGGATCCCTGTGAGTTCGAGGCCAGCCTGGTCTACAGAGTGAATTCCAGGACAGCCAAGGCTACACAGAGAAACCCTATCTTGAAAGAAAAAAGAAGATAATTCTGTGAGCAAGAGCACTTTCCACGAAAGCACAAAGCGCAAAGTTTGAATCTCAGTGTCCACATAACAAAGGACATATTCCCATACATGACTGAAACCCTACCAATGTGGGAGGCAGGAGGAGCAGTAGGGATTGCTGGCGGCCAGTGTAGCTGAAAAACAGGATCCAGGTTCAGAAAGAGACCCAACTAAACAACTAAAGCAGATGGTGATAGTGGAGCATACTCAATGCAATCTTTCTTCACACTCCCATAAGTATGCACACACAGGTGCATACACCTCTCTCTCTCTCTCTCTCTCTCTCTCTCTCTCTCTCTCTCTCACACAC